GTAAATGTTGCAGCTATTAGTATAATTTTGCTGGAATTACATTAAAAAAACAAAGATTTCTGGAGGATGGTGTGTGTGTGCAGTACTTTCAGGATTGCCTGATAAAGGGAGCTGTTTAATTAAGCCTTTTTAAAATTATAGCTAAATGTATAGGGATATATTAAAAAGGGAGAAAAGCAGAGCCATCATATGAAACAGAGAATTGGTATCCAGCAAAAGAAATCCATTTAAAAATAATACTTGAGCCATAAGGAGGCCATATAAACAAAACATAAAAACAATTCGAAGTCCAGAGAAAAATTGTGGAAGGCTTGGTGCTCAATACTTTACTTACTGAACCTCAATGTAAAAGTTGGTTTTTATAGATTAATTTCCTAGAAAGAAACCTCCAGGAACTGTGGTTTGTTTTGTAAAGGAGGGCAAAACAAGAACTTTGAATTTGCTTTAAATTGGGAAGAAAAGCACAATTTGACAGTGAATTGTTGAAACAGCTAATGCAATTGGTGAGTTTTAAATTTCCTAGTGTATGTGGACCAAGACACACTTTTACATTGTTTTCTCTTAGCTAGATATGTTTTAGTCAAAATGATGGGGAAGTCAAGCAAATGCTCTCAGTTCAGTGTCAGAAGGGACAATTTGTGCTTTCAGCCTGGTCTTTAAAAATTGTGAAAAAGGGCAGGAGGCTGATGTCACATGTTTCCACTCAGAGCCTTGTTGTACTTGGTATTTGTGAGAACTGATTTTGGTGTCTGCAGGGGAAGTTAGGAAACCCCTCAAATGTTACTGCATCTAAGAGCAGGGTGTGTGAGCTCTATGAGGGAAATCAGTGCTGCCATGGCACGGGAAGGGCTGAATCCAGCAGCCTTTCCTCTGGCCAAACTTCTATTAAAAATAAAGGAGAAAGGTGAAAACTTGTGTGTTCTGCCCATCCAACTGGGATTCCCCCTAGGATGAATGCTTCATTGTAGGGGGCAAACCAAACTCAAAAGGTGTGGGGAAACCAAACTCAAAAGGTGTGTGCCATGTGTGTGATGCTCTGAGCTAGAAGAGGCTGCTTGCAGTGCTCTGTAGCAGTAGTGGGGAACTGAGGGAGCTGCTGTGCTGGGCTCAGGTGGGGGATGCTCAGGAATGAGTTAATCACATTCTCCTGGTGAATCACAAACTAAAGTATAAATTGTTGGAATTAGGACAGCAGCATAGTTTTTTAAGTTTCTTGTTAAACTGGGCATAATAATTCACTCATTGGGTTACAAGTCAGTAATGTGGGGTGTGGGGGAATGCATTTTCATATACTTTGAAAAGCATCTTGAAAGTAAGGCATGCTGGAGGAGTTGTGGGGGATGAGCACCCACATTCTGAATGCTCTTGCTTGATGTTGCTGTGAGAACTGAAGAGCAGCTGGGTGCCACTGGCAGCTGCTGCCCCCACGTTCCAGCACGGGGGGTTCTGCTTCTGCTCTGTGTTGGGCTGTGGGTGGTGGGGATTGTGGCTTGAGAGTTTAAGTCTGTAATAGTGGCCAGAGTTTGGAGACAATTGTTGTAAAAAGAAATATGAAACAGCAAATGCAGCATTGACTGCTGAAGTCATAAAGCAGATGGTGTTATGAGCCACAGGAGGGTTAAACAGTTGAACAATATCGACTGTTAGACTCATAAATGATAATTAAAACATCCTTTTTATTACTGACTCTATTTCTGCTGCTGGCTTGGACTTTTCTGTTGCTGTCAGTGAAGTTTGGCTGTTCTGAACAAGGCCATAGTTTGCTCAAGAGCAATTGCCACCTGTGGGGCCCAGAAACCTCCTGCAAGAGGAGGATGGGAAGGAGCAGCTAAGGAGACAAGGTGTATAGAACACAAAACTTCACCCACTGGCAGAAAATCTTGTTTAAATGAAATTCTTCTCCTTTCAGCCATGTGTCAGAAACCTCTGATGGAAAGGGGTAAAAACTGAATGATGGATTTTAAGAAGCTGTACCCTCCTCCCTCCCTCCAATTTCTGCTTGCATTTATAGGGTAGAATTAATGAAGTTAATTACATCTGCACAAAATCTCCTGGTTGAGTGAATTACTTAGATCTTTTAAAGTAGAGACATAATTTTCTGCAAGGTTCACAGGCTGTTTTTCAAGCTTGGTTGGTTGCTTTGGTTTATAGTCCCCATGATGCATGGTTGCTATCTTAAGCACTCTGGGGTGCCCCTTTTAGAGTAATACAAGATGTCAAATTCAATGTAGCAACAACTGCAGCATTCAAAACAAAAATACTGAAATAAATAAAAAGACTGGTTCCTGACAAAGATGAAAAAAGTTAAAATGTAAAGCAAAATAAGAGGGTGAGTTGCTTAGAGGTAAAACTATATTGTGTAATTAGCAAAGCAAATGTCTAATATGCTGCTTGTCTGACAATCTTTTGTTCACTTTGGTGTCATCATTTTCAACCTGCAGCATTAACCGAAGGAATTTGCAGGAGGGCGTTTACATGTTAAGGTGGAAACAGAAAAAAAAGGGCAAAGAAAAAGCTGGGCGATCAAAACCTTTTAAAGGGGTACCTTACAATAAGTAGTATTCAAGATTAGGACTTCAGAGAATGAAGAGATCAGGCCTACATGATTGTGAAGCTTTAACAGATAATTTTACTTTAAAATTATCTGACATATGAGGTTGACATTAAAGATAGGCCTGAATTTAAAGCTGGAGGCAAACTTCAGCATCTAATTAATTTTTTTGCTAAATTGCATGTTGGGATTTTTTAAAGGAAATTTTTGTGCAGATTTAATTTAAAACTCTCTTGGTTTGTATATATTTTGGTTTAGGGATTTGCTTAAAAATTAGAAGTCAAGTAGGGGTTTTTAATATGGAAACACTCATTTTAAGTCTTGTGGTGATTTAAATTTAAATTTCTGTTTCCCATTTACAGCTGTGTCCTGGGCTTGCCCCTGGCTTGCACTTCAAGCAGGGCCCCATGAGCAGCACCCTCTATGCTGTCCTTGTGTCTCTTGAAAGGCAGAATGCACTGTGTTTTGTGAAATGTAGTTCAAGAAGAGCCTAGTTTACATGGAAAACAAGGTGGTGTGTACATTACTAGAGCTTCCCTGAAAAATTTTGATAGCATTTCCCCATGGAAAACTTCAAATTTTTCAGATAAAGGATTTGTATTTCAATTTTCCATCAATAAAATTCCAATCCTTGCTGCATACAAATTTTCATTATCCACAAAAGCAGTGCTAACAAAGATTAATTTCCTAGAAGAAAAGGCAGAAGCATCATGTATGCAATGCAGATATGCATAATTGCCCCAGCACAGCACAGGCAGTATGGCAATGTGGAATTAAATGTCACATGAAGACTCATGGTGGCCTAGCAAACACAGGAACATGAAGGTTTTGAGCAGCCATATTAAATGGGAATTTATTTAGGGCTCTCTGAACACACTTGAAAAAACAGTTTAACAGCAGCATTTGCTGGTTGAGCACAGTCACGCAACTAAGTTAGGGGAGGTATTGGGAAATCCTACCAGGAAAGAAGTATTTTTGGTTGATGATACTTCTTCAGGGCATCAGGGATGTGAAGTGTCCTTTGGAGTCACATTACTGCAGCTGACATTCCTTGTGTTAATGACTGGGCCTTACCAAAGGAAGTCTCACTTCTATTTCAGAAAACCTGCAATTTAACTTGCTAACTTATTTTTGTTTGTGTTGTCTTGGGCTACACTGGTTGATAGAGAAACTTATCTTACGTTTGGTTTGTGTACTGTCCAGCACCAGGAGCTGCATACCCGTGAGTGAGATTTATTAAGAACTGTCACAATATGAGCAAAATTATGTAAAATCACATTTCAGTAAAATACATGGAGACAAAATATTTAATGCAACTATTGCTTGAATGGTACTGATTACAGGAGTCACTAACAGAGGGAACACTCCTCTGAAGATAGGCAGCTTTAGAAAGAATCAAAGTCATTTGTTTGATAGGTGACATCATAGGATGGGTTCTTTTATCATCTGTATTTTGGGTAACTACTAGTTTTACCTAAATGTTAGAGGTATTGCATGTTTGTCATCATTAATATTTTTTATTATATTCTACTAAGAACATGGAAGCCCTTTATTTTCTATTTGTTGCTATGAAATTGTTTCAAAATTTACAACTTCACAGATGCAGACTCTCTCTGTGGTTTTTAATTGTGAGTATTTATGATTTGGTGCTTTGCAAGATTTTGGATCTTAAGCCCCTCAGCTGTCACTGTTCTGTGCTGCTGATGGAAACACCTTAACAGCAGCAAACAAACTGCTGGCAAAAGGAATTGCAGCATGAAGATAAGGTTGTTTCTAATCTAAGAGCTTCTCAGATGAAAATTGCACGAGGGAAAAACATATTCAAGGAATCAGTCAATTGTGGCTTTTTTCTAATGTACGATATTTACAACCTCTGACAATTGGAGCTGAGAGCAGCAAAAAACTGCCCTAATTGCAAGGACTGCAAAAAAATGCTTGTACTTCTTTTCCCCTGAATAAATGGTTGTTTCTTTGGGATGAAATGCACATCTGCATTATGAAAGAAAACAATAACAGTGCTGTGTCTGTGCTCGTTAAGTGGTTGGAGAAGAATGAACAAGTCCAGATTTTTCTTTGCGTCTGCGTAGATTTCAGATAACACAGTAGAGCATGTTCCCCAATGCCTCCAATTCCAAAGGGAATATTGTACATTTTGATGATACTTTTATTATTACTTTTCACTTTCAAGAATGTCTGTGTAGATTTTGGATACACTCCTGTGTGTTGCTATGCCAAGAGTAAGCTTTTGTAATTCTGGAGTGCAAGTGTAGAAAATAACTCAGGATTTCAGAATGTGTCTGGAATTTATGTCAGCACCAAAGTGCTTATGATTTGAAAGAAACGTGTTATTTCTGTGAAACTCCCATGTAAATATAGATATATAAAAGCAATGTTTCTTTTGCAACATTACTGATTTAACTTGTAAAATACTGTTATTTTTTCATCGTAGGTCTGAGGGTAACAGTGTTACTAACATCATCCCTCATGGTATTGGGAGCTGGCCTGAGATGTGTTCCAGTTTCAGACCTAGAAATTAGGAAAAAGTAAGTGAATTAATTATTCTTAATACACGTATTTTGTTCTTTCTGCTAATATAATTTTTGCTGCTACTACAAAGAAATGTTAATACCAATTCTTTGTATGAAGTTGATTTACCAAATGTTTGTTGTGTGGCCGTGGGTTTATGTGCTTCTTTGCTTCTTAAATGGATTTTTCTAGTCCTTCTTCTCCATAGTATCTGAAGATCAGAAAACCCTTTACAAGCTTGAGTTAATTTACTCTAACCACATCCTGCATAACTAATATTAATCTGCTTTGCAAATAAGGAGCTGGAGATTTAGTGAGGTTCAGAAACTGGCCCAAGATCACACAGGGAGCCATGCCTCAACCCCCAAAAATAAGTAATTTGTATGCAAATGTTAAATAGTTAGTTCATTTTTCTCATAGTGAATGTGTGGGATCATGCCGTGAGACAGATGAATTTGTGCAAAATGCCTTTTTTCATATAGTCTCTTCCAGTCCATGTTTCAAAGTAGCCTTGTACTTCTTCTCCAGTGAAGTGATTTTCTGCTTTACAAATTGGTGATAAAAACAGATTCCTTCCTAAAAATCCCACAGACCAAGCAATTTAATTGTTCCATCAACATATACTGAATTGAGGAATCATGAGTAATACAGCAGCACTGCTTGTTTTGTACAGCCAGGGAACATGGATCACTCGTTCACTTAACTTTCTTTTGCCTCTTAGTGTGAAGGAGGTGGGAGTATGCAGGCATTACTACTCTTTCCTGCTACTTTGAAAAAGCAGCAGCACTGGTTCTTTGCTAGTTGTGCTTGCATAATATGTAAACACTAAGGAAAGGTCTTACAAATAAAATGTTTTATGTGGGTTGGGTTTTTTTCCCCTTGAATTCTAGTCAGCTTGAATTCTACCACAAAGTCTTGGTATTACTTCAGCAAGTCATTTGGGCTTGGGGGCTTTTGTTTTTTTTTTTTTTCCCTTAGTACTGTTTAACCTGAAAATCAGCTTGGGCACCTTTTAAGCTGAGAAAGAAAATGTTCAGTGTGAAGTTGAAAGCCGATGACTGGGTACCATGGATAAAACAAAGAAGGAGTTTCAGAGAAAGAACTGAGAATGTGAAAAACCACATGAATTGTAAAACTAGCCCTGATAAGTAAACTAAGAGCAGAGTGTGAGGTATGAAATCATGCACTTTCAGTTCTTAGGTGCTTAGTGAGCATATGAGGAAGTGTTCAAGGTGCTCCTGATGTTGGTTGCCTAGCGTTGCCCATTTTGACAGGGTCTTCAAGGACTCTGTGAGCAGGGCAGGCTGCACTAACCATATTGTGCTACCCTTCACAGTGACCCTTTTGAGAAAAATGTACTGTTTGGGTGGCCAGGAAGAGCTGTCCTTATTTTACCCTTGGTTTTCATTTTCTTAAAATGTCAAGGGGTGCTCGACATTCAGTTTGTTCATTCTCATCAGTCTTGGGTTAAATATCAATAGCTTTTAAATGGGACACGTGGCTTAAATGCAATGAAATGTGGTGTTTTATGTAGTTTTCATTTATGATGTATGCCAGAAGACATGTGCTGTCCTAGGCTTTACTAAAACAAGGATGAAGACTATAAATACCTGAGAAGATGAAAATTCCCAGGTGAGATTTGGATGTGAGGTATCATTTGGGCAGTGGGAAGAAGAGTTTCCACCTTTAAGGTTTTCCAGTGTAGGTGCAGAAAGCAGGCCTAGGAAAGCAATGAAATACAAAACTAAGGAGAAACACTCAAGGAACAGAGAAAGGCTTTGGACTCTATAGAGTCTGATGAGTGAGATGTATAAAATGTGATGTTAAAATTTATTGAAAACTATATAGGGGAAAAAAGAGTGTGAGCAGAATACAGATGGAAAAAGTTAATAATTTCATATATTCAGGCTGTGAAAATATTTATCATCTTCTCCAGCTGAAACTGATAAATTTGCCTACTTATCCTACTCCCAAAAAAGAAATTTGCCAGAATTGTAGATCTACGTGAGGAAGTAGCCTGATCTTTTACACAGTTTGATTTTAAAAATCTACCAAGAATTAATTATGGCCAACTGTGGGAAGCAAAAGAATGGTTTTCTTGAGATTTTGTAAATAATTGTATAGACCCTGTGATGCTATACTGTGTAACTTCCATTGTTTTGTGTGTTAAGGCTTAAGGCCAGTTTTCATCCATTCTTTGAAGTGATACCAAATAAGAAAATTTTTTTTTTGAGATGAGCATTATTGCTTGATGCATTAACCACAACTGGCTGAGCACCAAATTATGCACTTATTCTGAATGTGTCTGTATGTTAATACAACAATTTGAATGTTACAGAGCCTGTCAGAGAGACAAGATCACTTGCAAGCTAATTGGAAGCATTTCAGAAGCCAGTGTAACTGGAATTTCTTTGAATGCTTTTGTGTGTTTTGTAGTGTGTTCCTTCAGCCTGAGAGTAATCTGTGGGAATATGCTGAAGATTTCCATGGGACAATTCTGTCTGAGTTAATATACATAAAATTATAAGAATGTTCATGAGGTTTGTAGGGCTTAGACTGGGGGGTTTGTACTTTGTAGCTCCCTGAGCTCTTGTGATTAACATTAAGGAGAGCTACTAAAGCCCACCACCTATCAGAGCAGTCATAGACATAAGGAAATCACTGTTAAGACTGGCATTAATCCTGGCTGCTTTATGCTCCTTATCTCAAACAGACCTGTAATATCCAAGTGTATTCTTAATCCCCTTTCTAGTCCATAATTATTCTTTTGGTTGTAGTATGTAATATCAGACTAAGACCATGCCCAGTCCTCCAAGTCATATTTTAAACACAGACCTTAACCTCTCTTTTCAGTACATTTGATATGCACTATGCATATGAGGGAAAATTCAAGTTGCACATTTCATTGTGTCTCTTGAAGCAGCTGTACATTTTCTGTGGTGAATTTTTGTTCTCTGACAGTGTGTGACCTAAAATTGTACTGGAAATCCATGCCAGAACTGCCTAAATTCAGTGCAGGCAAAGTGGGAGTACATGGTGAAATTGTTAAAGTGTGAACTTGCATGTCAGATGGAGGATCCATCCTTTAAATGGACTAATAAAGTCCCTCTCATATACACATATGCTTTTACCTGTTTCCCTCCCCTGCCCAGTAATTTATGAAGTTAATGAGTCTATCATATAAGGATGTTAAAAAGAATTTTTCTTAGGTACCATGTGCTTCTGGGTTTGTCAGATGTGCCAGATATATGACAGTAAATTTGACCCCAAATTTATTATTCCTTTTTAAATGTTATGAAAACTTAATTTGCCACACCTGTTTATTTAGTTGACATTTAATATACATTACATAGAACATAAAGGAAAGAAAGATGTTACCAAATTGTATTTTCCTGAATCTTCTTCCCTTCCCTGAAGCTTACCAGAACATCACTAATGCTTTTTTGCCTGCATTTTGTCCAGTCTTTTCCTTTCTGACACTTGCTTGTCACTGAGTAAATATTTTCATTGGTTTCTTTTAGGATTTGATTATTTTATCCTGAACATTAACATTACTCAGAGGCCATTTTTTTATAGATTAAATCAGAGTTGTTTTTCTCCTCCACATAGCACTTCATATTTACCTTGTGTTCCGTGTTTAGGAATAGATTTACATACATCTTATGTCTTAAATCTAGGCAAAAAGCTGTATGAGCTGAAATGTGTAAAAGAAGGAAATAAAATTAGGAAATCAGCCCACAGCCATAAAACTTTGGCTTTTAAGACTGATTGTGTGATGTAAGACTTCTTAAAATGTTTTGAAAGGTGGGATAATTAAAGACATGGAAGTAAAGGATGTAACATAATTTGTCATTTGTATTGAACACATTAATTAAGCAATTTATTAGAACTTTTTACACTGTGGGCTGGTAGTGTTTGTCCTTCACATCAGATTTCACAACAGAGAAGCAGTTACTGAGGACCTTGAAGTCATGGCAGTGAGAGGATGCTCCTTGGCACTAAGCACCATTAAAATGTATGTTGGGAATCCAGCAAAAAGCGCAGAGAATTACAGTGGAAACAGAATGGTTGTTTACACAGTCAATTATAGGAAACACACCAATAGTTGGTAGAGCCTATAAATGGGTCTTTTTGTGAATATTAACAGTTCTTAGGATTTTGAATATTTCTCCTTTATATATATATATTGTTGTGAACTGTGAAGATTCACTCTTAGCACACCTTTGGTACACTTTGGTTCTATTAGCTAGTTGCAAACTAGTTTGAATTTTACTCTTGTTAGACTTACCCTTTAATAATTCCACATTTTCCCCTTTTCTGTTGCTTAAAACCTAAAGAATTAATGAGATCATCTAATTATTTGGGTTTTCTGATCCTAAGGCTGCCATAAGCTACCATTCTTATGCATGAAATATGCAAAGGAGCATCTTGGAAGAGGTTATTTCAGTAAAGGAAAGAGGTACTAGAATTCCTGTATTCTCTGGTAATACTGAACACACTTCTGTGCTCAAAAAACCCCAAACAATTCCAAATTGGAGCATCTGTAGAGAAGAGGAATTAAAGTGTTCTTGGGAATGAGAAGAGCCTGTTAGGAGAGGAAGGTAGACAAATCAGCCTGTAAGGAATAAAGACAGAGTGTGCTGAGTGTTTTGTGCTCCCTACCTCACTGGGGAAGAGAAATGAAAAAAGGATTTAATCTAAAGTGAGGGTCTGGGAGTAGAAAGATGAATAAACATACCTGTTTGTGTGCTGTAGCTCAGCAAGCAGAGGGGGAAAACATTAAAACTGAGCACTTGCCTGGTGCTTTTGGTGCTGATTTGTGCTGCAGTGCTGAGTTAATCCATGGCATCAGAAAAACAGGAAAGTGGGGAAAAAAGGAAACAAGTCATTCATGAGGAGGTTCACATGGGGGATACTTATTTATTATGCCTCTGTAATTTAACAGTTATCTTGTTTTTATTACTTCCATCAGCTTCATCTTGTACACTGGGTGTCGTGGTTTGACCGGAAATGGGAC